CAGTGTATGTTATGTTAATGAAACATGTCATACTGTACAACAAGGGAATGTGTATTACAAAATGCCAGTACGTATTTTTTAGATTTTGACACATTCCGTTCTGTTGTGTGTGTCTGCTGTTGAAAACTTCCTAATTTTGTGACTCGCTATGATGACTGAGATGGACCATGTTGATTTATTAATAATATGTTGTTTGGGATGGAAAAAGTAGAGTCAATTTCCCAAAAATGCTCCATCAGCAAATAGTTTAGTGTGCGCTATGGACAGTATGGCTATGGAATTTAACCACACAATCCACAATCATTAAGTCGCAAAACTTTAGCTGCATTTGGTAGATTAAGTCGCAAAACTTTATCTTCGTTTGGTGGCGCCATTTACTCTAGGTAGACGGAGACCGGTTTCGTTACCGGTTGGTACATTTCTAAACATTCAGCCAAAGGCCAGTGAAAGTTTTTATCGATGTTTGCCATCCGTATGTGAGCTATCGTAAAGTCATGGTTTGCCGAAGTTGCGTTCAATTTAAATCTCCGAATTTCTGAAGCTGAGATATTCTATGAATGGCTTGTATCGCAGGCTACAATTGTGAGTGGGACTCATTCAAAAATTCGAGGGGGTTCGCTAGAAAATAGGGGGTTCGCCCGAACCATAAAAATCCCCCCTGGCTACGGGCCTGATGTGTGCGTATTTACATTTACCTGTGCGTATGCTGATTTTTGCTCCTGCAGTAAGCGTTTAATTAACTACACACACATCAGCAGTACAGATACGATGAATAGGCTAACTATTGTGTTAGACAGAACTTTTTTGTAATGCTATCAGGGGCGGATCCAGAAGTTTTGGTTAGGGGGGCTATAGGTATATGTGTAACGTGCCTCCAAGTGCCTGCGGAGGGTAGGTTTGGGAGGAGGTGTCTCCGTCCGATAAGATGGGGTTCAGAGGGGTAGCTGAACGCTTTAGCTATTAGATGTATGTATGTCTGTAATATTTAAGTTCAGGGTAGATGCTGTCTCTTATACACATCTAGATGTGTATAAGAGACAGATGTTAAGGAGAACCTCAGACGACAAAAGAATTCCCCTTAAAATATGTTTTAAATGTAGTAGTAGTATCCGACGACAAGCAATTAAGAAAAAACTAAACTGGAACAACTCTCTCGACACGAAATGTTCAGTGTATCATACAAACGTTTAAATACCTGCCTCTGACCCAAGGGCGTCGATCCGTGGCTGAAAGTGAGTCAACGTAACACTTGAGTTTGTAAACTTTTGGTAGGCTTATCACTTATTCGAAATAGGTAGACATCATATCCGTGAAATTAGAAAAAAACAGTAATCCTATGTATGTAGATAATATTAAACACTAGTATATACGTACGGGTCATAATAATATACAAAAAGAATAAATCGTTTATATTAGAAATTGTGCACTTTTGAGTTTGTAAAAATATTGGCCTAATAAGGATACATGCTTCCAATTTCAACAACGTTCAGTACATTGTTTTCCCCATAAATTTAGCCTCTGATAGTCGTTGCACCCATAAAATCGATCTAGTGGGTTTCTGAGATGGTTACAAAATGTTTAAACAATTGCGTTTTTACTTGGTTTTGGTCCGGAAAATACGTACCGCACTTAGAAAAGTGAACAGACAAAATTCATGAGTCATGCGTAATTGTTATTCTTTCCATTCGCTTGTAAAAGTGGGATTTTAATTATAGAAGATTGGTGAAAAGTGGGGGGGGGGGGACAATCGATACTATGTCCCCCCAACTTTGAAAAGTAGGCAAAATCAGCTTTCCTAGCTACGTTTTTTGTCCGCTGATCGGTTGAAAAACGTATTTCATTTTTATTTTATCACTGAAAAACAACTACTGTAAAATGTTTAGCCCATAAATATGATGTGTGTGAAGAAAACAGTAAACAATATTTTAATTTGGACCTTCAAAAAGCAGTTAAAAGGAAATGGCTATGACATTTTAGGGGGAGGGGGGCTAAAGCCTGTTAAGCCCCCTCTAAATCCGCCCTGGCTATTTTGATAGACTTTCGTCAAAGAAATAAACATTTCAGCATTCGAGAGAGAATAGTCACTGACGTCTATGGTTAGCCATCAGGGCCATAATGAAAGCGCCGTAATCACAATGAAAGCGCCGTTATCTTCATAAAAAGCGCCGTAATGCCATTCATAGCGCCGTAATGCCATTCATTTTCAACCAATAACAGGTTTAGGATGACGCCAACAGGGTCATAATGAAAGCGCCGTTAATGTGTTACAAAAAAAGCGCCGTGATCATAATAAAAGCGCCGTAATCATAAATCATGCTATTCACTTTTAACCAATCACAGGCTTAGAATTACGCCAACAGGGTCATAATGATTACGGCGTTAACTTGTTCGATAAAAGCGCCGCTTTGAGTAGCTGGCGCAAGGGCCACACTATTGGCCAATCACATTCCTTCTTCCATGTTTGCTGAATTGAACGAAAATGTGATGGATGGTTTGACTGGGCGCGCCAGTATCGCTTTTGGAGCCATTCAATACATGAACCGTGAGCAATAGATGTGCAAAATTTAAAATTCCTTCAAGTACGCCTAAATGCATGCATCAATCACCCTGCGTGATGAGTACTAAATCCTTAGAATAGTCCTCTATCTAGCATAGGCCTAGGGTAGGCCTGCCTAGCCTAGCTAGGCCTAGAATTACGTCAATCATTAAACATTAAAACATTATTTAAACATTTAAAAAAAAACATTAAAATCATTAAAACATTATTATATTATTATTTAAAAACATTAAAATCATTAAAACATAATTATTATTATTATTATTATTATTTAAAAACATTAAAATCATTAAAACATTATTATTATCATTATTATTATTATTATTTAAAAACATTAAAATCATTAATTTAAAAACACTATTATTATTATTATTATTATTATTATTATTATTATTATTATTTAAAAAACATTAAAATCATTAAAACATTATTTTCATCACGATTGAGGAAAAAATGTGGGTCTTCGTTTTTCTGATCTTCGGTCTTCGTTTTGTAGACACCCTCTTGATATTCGTCATTTTATTCCGATAAAATAATGAAATAGGTACTTGGCAACTGTTTTATGATGATTTTGAAATACTTTCAATAAGATAATTAAGAAATAATTGGAGGTCTTCGTTTTTCGGGTCTTCTGTCTTCGTTTTGATAAAACGGGTGTCGATAAAACAAAGACCCTTGAAAATTTCACCAAAACAGACGCCCAAAAAAAAAATCGTAATTTTGATTTTGTGACAGCTTGGTATATTATCATCAAAATAAAAGAGAAAAAATAGGGGTCTTCGTTTTTGGGTCTTCGGTCTTTGGCCTTCATTTTATAGACACCCCTTGGCTAGGCCTATAAAAAAAGATGAATAAAAACCGTTAGAAATCAGTCCATTAGACCCCTGCACACCTCGACTCGCACCTTCAGCCGCGCCTGGATGCTCTCGCTCCTCCGCTATGAAAGACGGAATGTGATAGCCTAAACATATATGTATATACTGTCTCTTATACACATCTAGATGTGTATAAGAGACAGATGTTTAGCCCATAAATATGATATGTGTGAAGAAAACATTAAACAATATTTTAATTTGGACCTTCAAAAAGCAGTTAAAAAGAAATGGCTATGAAATTTTAGGGGGGATATATATATATATATATATATATGTATATGTATATATGTATATGTATATATATATGTGTATATGTGTATACATGTATATATGTATATATGTATGTATATATGTATATATATATGTATATATGTATTATGTATATATGTATATATGTATATATATGTATATATATGTGTATATATACATTTATATATTATATATATAAATATATATATATATATATATATATTTGAGAAAATTCATGTCTGCTTTTTTCAACTTCTTGCTAAGTTTCTCAAATAGCCTGAGGACTTGCTTTGTGACCGTACTGGTCTGTGTAAACCCATGTACAATACAGCCAAACTTTCGAACAGAAAGTAGTATAAAGACGAATTTAAGAGCAACAAAAATACATTTAATAGAACCAGACATGTTTCTTCGTATTCAATACGACATCTTCAGTGTAACACAACAAAAAACCGAATTCAGATATCCTGAGGTTTATATACCTTTGCCTATAACTTATGCACATTAGAGTCAATTCATTCTAAATAGGTATTTGAATACATAGTAGTTTTTAATAGTAAAGACCCTATTAGTAATGACCTCAAGTCCAAAGTTGTATATCAGTTCACATGTGGAGGCTGTAAGGCCTCATACATTGGGGAGACTTCCCGCCATTTTGCAACAAGGATAGAGGAGCATTTACATAGGGATAAAAATTCACATATACACAAACACATCAAAAAATACAGTAATTGCAAAACACAGAGTAACAAAAAGTGCTTTGAAATAATAGATAAAGCAAATACACAGTATCAGTTAAAAATCAAAGAATCCCTCCATATTAAATGGAAGAATCCTGAACTTAACAGACAAGTTCAAAGTTACGAGATTACACTAAGCATTTGAGCTAGAATTAGAATTACGTAACTCTAACGTGCAAGTAACGACACTACCATGTATTTAAATACCTATTTTAGAATAAATTAGAGCTAATTTTGTGTCTACACTAGTGTCACACCATTGTCTACAACCAAATGTATTAGAAATAAATAGACAACAAGTGTTTGTAGGCAATTGCCGTATTCATATTATCATCATATTATTTCTTTCAAATAATTACTAATGCAACAAAGCAAAGTACAAAAAAAACATAAACATAAACGCGTCAGCAGTACCAGACAGGAATTTAAAAAAGAGGACATTGCCGAACTCTGTCTGGGAGCTCTCGGTACCGACCGTTGAAACAAAACTATGTAACAGAAATATTTAAAATATTTTCAAAGCATTTATAAGACTAAATATCCCCGATATAAGACGATGTTTTTTTCTTGCATATAAAGGAGCGATTGATTCACTAAACATGACAGACGTTACCGTTTCCTTTATTGTGCCAGCAAAATATGCACCAGAACGTGCTATTGATGGTGATTGGGAAACGTTCGCTGAAACAGGTAATCAGGCTTTTGTTTCTTATTTTAATGATACGAATATGGTGATTATGTAGGTATAGCATAGGTCTACTTATTCCATAGAACGGCGTAGCTAAATGTAATCGTTGTATATAATGTATAATGGTAGGTCATCATCTATTCTAATACCATTCTAACTTTTTATTGTAGTCCCAGATGTGAACCCTGCAATAATTTTTGAATTTCCAGAATCAGTTCTTATCACTCACATCAGTTTTGTGATGAATCTTTCATCATCCTTTTGTAAGTTTATTCTGGTTTCAATAGTAGTAGTAGTAGTAGTAGTAGTAGTAGTAGTAGTAGTAGTAGTAGTAGTAGTAGTAGTAGTAGTAGTAGTGGTAGTAGTAGTAGTAAAAATAACTAGACTTACTATGTATGTTTGAAAAACAGAACAAAGGCTTTTCCTCATTGCTGGAATGAAATTTAAAACGTCTAGAGTAAAATAACACACAAAAAGGAAAATAAAATCATACAGAAAATTATAATAGAAATTATGAAGTTAAAAGATATTAAAAGCAACTGGATGTAAGGGAAACGCGAACTGTGCTGCTAATACTATTCAAAATATGTAAAATGTTGTCATAATTTGATATGCACCTTGTAGAAATATGGTATTTGCTTAGACAATGTTTGAAGAAGATTCAAGACCAAAGTCGGTTTAAATCGAAAAAATAAATTAGAAAAACAACGGCCAGTTAGAAAAAAAAATTAAGTAAAAAAAAAACCAGGGAAAATAACTTAAAGTTAGTAAGACTCGAAACATAACTGCAATGGTAATAGTAAGAGTGAAATGGAGACTCATAACCACTGCGCGCTATGTGAGCCTGTCCTGTCCTGTTGATCTGTGCATTTTTAGTTCATCTACCTTGAGTAATATGGTAATTTAGTGATAAAAGGTTCATGCATATCACGGTAAATTTGCGTTTAACCTAGCTGCAGCTGGTTTAAACGTTTTAGAAAACGCAAATTGCGTTTATATAAATTAATCAACTGTCCAAACCAATTTCTTTAAATGGTCCTCATATCAACACCCTACTCCGGATTGTCACCCAAATTGGATCATTTCTTCATTGGACGATGAAAAATTATTCTGGAAAGTTTCATTTAGGTCTATTAAGACCCTCAAAATCACACCCTAAATTGGATCGTTACCAACACATAATAATTTCTTACTTGTAATTTGGTTAAACTTTTCCAAAAGTTACATTCAGATTAGTTGGTCCTCATATCCCCGCCCTGTTCCGGATCGTCAAAGAAATGTTATCATGTCTTTGCTAGACCTTGAAAAATAATATAGAAAGTTTCATTTAGACACATTAATAAGTTTTAGAGATATTTAGGTCTGGAATGTCAGAAAAATTAAAATGACACTCACAAGTACACCCTTTATTGGATCTTCACCAACATATAATTTCTTCCTTGTAACTCGGTTAAATTTTCTCGAAAGTTTTATTCAGATCAGTTGATCTGTTTTTTAATATCTGGTCTAGGATATTTTTCTTTAAATGATAGTTACAAAAATGTAATCATTTCTTCATTGCACCATGAAAAACTATTATAGAAAGTTTCGTTTTGATCCACTGAATACCGTAAAACCTCTCATGTTTTTTGTTTTTTTTTTTGTTTTTGTTTTTTTTTCGAACTTTGGATGGGCTTCATTTCAAGATGGGATTCTTTTCGAGGTTACTTCTACAATGTAAAGAGTAGGTCTTCTTTTCAAAAAGAATGCTGTAAAGTTTGGGAATTTGTATTATAAAACAATAAATACGGCCACTGTAATAACAATCTGTATCATGGAGTGTATTTAACTGACATTAAATCACCTAAACTATTGTATAAACCAAGCTTGTTATTAATTTGTTTTGTTTTTGAATTCATGTATTTCATGTTTTTGATATACTGTACTATCTCGAAAAGAAGTCTATGTTATCTTGAAAGTAAGCCCATGGGCTTCTATTCGAGGCTAATTTTGCAAACTAAAAAGGAGGGGGCTTCATTTCGAGATGGGTTTCATCTCGAGATTAAGACCACTGGCCTTCAATTCGAGGTTTTACGGTATGTTTTAAAGATGCTTAGGTCTGGGACGTCAGAAATTTATATGACCATCAAATTTACACCCTCAACCGGATCGTCACCAACACACAACAATTTTTTCTTTGTTATTTGGTTAAACTTTCACAAACGTTTCGTCGAGACCAGTTGATTGGTTTTTGAAATATCTGGTCTGGGACGTTTTCCTTTAAATGGTCCTCATATACACACCTTATGCCGGATCGTAACCAAAATTTAATCATTTCTTCATTGGACCATAACAAACTGTTATAGGTTCGTTTTGATCCATTGGTTTGATTATTGAGATATTTAGGTCTGGAACGTCAGAAATTTAAATGACCCTCAAATTTACACCCTAAACTAGATCGTCACCAACACACGAAATATCTGATGTAGAGTGTTTGCCCTAAAATCCCTTTAATTAGTCCTCACATCCACACCCCACTTTAGATTGACTCTAAATATTAGGAGGCACATCCATGATATATGGTCTATGCTTCGACAGATTTTGGAAAAGAGCCACCCATTGAAAATGACCAAAGTACCAGGCAGAATAACCCAATTCAAAAAGAAAGAGAAAAAAGTATGTAAGAAAAAAAAAAAGAAACAGAACAAAAATAAAAGCTTTTCCAGCTAGCGCTATTAAAAGCCAACAACAACAATAATAATCATAATAATAATAATAATATTATTAATAATAATATTTATTATAAAATAATAATAATAATAATTATTATTATTATTATTATTATTATTATTATTATTATCTTTATAATAATATTAACATTAATAGTGATAATACTGAAAATGTGTAGTGTGACAGTATCCATTTGTAAAGATGCTCATGGCTCATGTCACTTCGACACGAAAGTACACTTTCACACCTTAAACTCCACCAAACAGTTAGCAATACCTTTTTATAATTTATTTATATAACTATTTCATATCGGAATGTAAAGACAAAACTTTCACATTGACATACAAAATAATTATTATAATTATATAGTCAAATTGAAAAAATAATAATACTAAAGTTTAGTAATTATTTAGCACTTTTCACAATACACAATAGCATTTTTACAAGCTCAAAACCTTCGAACGCCAGACACCAAAACGCTAGGTTACTCCCCAGTCTCTATAAACACTCTAACTTTGAATAAACATTATTTTAAAAAAGGAATCGCATCTGCTTACAGAATACTGTTGTACATCAATCCCCCTCCCCTTTAGCGGGTGTGGGTGGGGGGGGGGGTTTCCGGCGTCGAATCAAAAATGCAAAATATATAATTTGCCTATCCAAGAAAGGTTATTTTGATAGTCAATACCTCATATTTAAGTCTAAAAGCACTATATGGACCATATTAAGCTATATAAAACCTCCCCCCGATGAACTTTCCCAGGGATGTTTTCTTCCGAGACTCGGATCAAGGCTCTAGTCGGCCCCTTGACTTGTACCCCCTTCAGACATGTCGAGTCCTATGTCGGCAAACCACTGCCTAGCTTTACTAATAGGGATAACTTAGAAGAATCATAAAGCAAAGAAATAATTCCTCCATGGAAGGAATCTCCCAAATTCTAAATTAAATGCTTTCTAGGATTTTATAATGTTGTATTATTTTTGATTGGATTCGTATTATTGAACTTCTAAATTATAGTAGGTCTTCTGCATACTATGAGTTTTTTTCAGTCCTATCTTCTGTCCAGTGCGATTTCGAAGATCCAAGTATTTGTGGCTTTGTACAAGACTCATCGGACGAATTTGATTGGACAAGAGCATCTGGATCAACATCTTCAAGCAATACTGGCCCTTCGTTTGACCGCACATACACAAATCAAGGTAACAACAAAAGTGTGAAACTAAACTTACAATGTCTGCTTGTAAAACAGAACATAGGACCTTTCCTCATTGCCATAGTAAGATGTGATGTTGAAATTACAAGAAAAAAAGGAGAAAATCAATAAAAAGAATAAAGTTAAAATTACATTCATGAAATTAGATCATAGGCCTACTAAAGAAATTTTCGAATTGAAGAAAAATAAATCTGAATCAGCGAAACTCAAACTATGGCTGGAGTAGTAATAGCCAGGTTGTTATTACGCTAAAGAACTTGACCCTGCTGAGGTCAGTGAATTTGTAGTTTGTCTACCTTGTGTAAAGTTAAGGGCGACAATTGTTCATACATTTTAAGGTAACTTTGTATTTGATAATAGCTTTAGCTAGTTTGAAACGCTTTAGAAAACGAAAATTGCGTTAACATAAAGTTAAAATATGTGGAATGATGTTATATTTTATTATTGACATTATTTACATAATTATGATCTTTGTGGACAACGTTTGAGGAATATTCAAGCACGGAAAGTGACCGAAGTGCCTGACAGAATACTTTGGCAAAAACAAGGAACGGAATAGAAGGGGAAAAATCAAAACAAAAAACAATGAGAAAGCCAATAACCAAAAAAAGCAAAGCTTAACAAACAGATCTTGACAATTAATGTCTCTGAAAAAAACCTCCAGTCGTTGGATAAACATAATTTTTATATTTCAATCGCTCACAAACTTACATTTACTTCCAATTACAGGATACTACATGTACATCGAAACTTCAAGTCCGAGGATCTTAGATGAAGTCGCTCGGCTTTGGACACCGTCATATCTTGCAACAAACGACATGTGCATCGAGTGGTTCTACCACATGTACGGATCCACAGTGAACACATTAAATGTGTACATGGTCAAAGCCAACGGTACTGTTGATGTACCTGCTTGGTCAAAAGCAAATGAACAAGGCAACCAATGGATACCTGCACAAGTTGCAACATCCGAGCCTGGTACTTACCAAATAATGTTTGAAGGAATTGTAGGAAGCGGCGTAAGAGGTGACATTGCTATAGATGACGTCAGAATCACTGATCGAGCATGTAGTAAGCGTTCACGTTCTTCTTACAATGAAATAACATTAAAATAGTTATAATGGCCTGAGCCGTAAAACATGAAGACGATGAAAAAAAGCAAACAAATATTTATTTATTCAAACTACATTTAAAATTCGTAGAAAAAAAAAATTATAGGAAATGAGCCAAACGAGGCCGAACGAGTTGGATCTGACTATGGTAGCCAGAAAATATATAAATTAAATTCTAAAATGTGCATCTTAATTCCGACTAACATCAATTTAAGGAGGATCAACAACATTGCCAATGTGTGTAAATTTTAATCGGTCCATTAGTCCCGGAAGGACAGACACACAAGCACACACGCAAACACACGGAGGTGAAGGTAATAGTAATAAATACATCTATTCCTTAAATGGTTTAAATGAGACATTGATTCGTGATTGAGCTAAATTCCAAAGTTGGTGTATGATACGTTCTTCTAAATTAATAAATAAACGGAATCAGAACCGATAAGATAGTATAATACATACTCCAAGTATCGAAATGCACGCCATCGTGTCGGGATTCAATAATTCGAAATTAATTGTGTCATCATCAGGAAATGAAATGGAATCAGAACCGTTGCATAATTTCACGCCCGTTACGACAATTTCGTCTAATCTATGGTCAGTGAAAGAATGGTCAGGGGCAGCTAAAGCAAAGTTTTACTGTAACAGCCTGTTTATACTTCAACGATAACTATAACGATAAAAAAGCTAAAAAGCAATTGTTCATATAGAAAATAAAAGAAATAAGAGAAGTTTTTACACTAGAACGATTCGATAACGATTTATCAGTTATGCGATAACATATTTTGACAAATCAAATCAGATGACGTCATAATCATGGAAAAACATTAAAATCGTCGTAGTACCAACGATTTTATCGTTTGTCCATGATTATGACGTCATCTGATTTGATTTGTTAAAATAATTTATTATTGCATACACGATAAATCGTTATAAAATCGTCCTAGTGTAAAAACTTCTCTTATTTCTTTTGTTTTTTATATGGACAATCGCTTTTTAGCATTTTTATAGTTATCGTTATCGTTGAAGTGTAAACAGGCCTTAACACATTGAGAACCCGAAAACCAACCGTGCTTGACGAAAATCTACTGTGTTTGTTAACAGATTGTGCCTGAAACCCGAGTGTGCTTATTGACCGTGTTTGAAATTTGCACTTTATGGCGTTTCATATAAAACCGCAGAAATTAACGTTGAATGATGTTACAGTAATTAGGTTATCTACTGTGATTGTATGCTTTGAAATAAGCATAATCATAATAATATAATAACGAGAGTTGGATTGCCGAGACATAGAATACATAGAATATTTTCTAAATTCATTCCAGCCCTTTTTGGTCTGATAAAAGAAACCTTTCTAGTCCATACAGTCTGAATTACTGATCCCTTAAGTAATATGTATAAAGTATACATAATACACAAACCATTATGTCTATACAGACTGGCGGGGCGATGTACCCGACGAGTGCAAAGTGGGTGTGGTTGGGCTTCGCTCAAATTCTTTCGAAAGTGGTCCAGGTGCCGAAGCCCACGAAAAATGTGACAATTTAGGGGGTTTAAAGGCTTATTTCATCGGTGTTAAAGTCTACTAAATGAAGGAAATATATATATATATATATTATTTTTCTCCTCGCGAATAATGATTTTTCTCCCCGCCAGGGGGTCCCTTGGCGCCACCTAGGCATGCATCTACATCGACCGACCACGTACCGACTCGAGCGGATCGATCATGTGTCACATTTTTGTTCGACAGACTGGAAGCGGTTTAGGCGGCATGCAACACCAATTGATGGGCTTGCCACCTGAGGCCTATGATATTATGACTCGTTTGATGAATGGAGTGGAGAAGATGCAGTATTTATGTGTTTTAAATATTTCTGGCAGTATATGTCACGATCTGCTGTTTCAATTTTATACCAAAAAAAGTTGAAAAGTAATAATATATGAAAAAAGTATTCTATAGATGCACAAATTATAAAAAAGTTAATAATAATAGCAAAATAATAATAATAAATAATAATAATAATAATAATAATAATAATAATAATAATAATAATAATAATAATAACTACAACAACAAGATAATCGGAGATTACAAACCCTTGCCTTGCTGTCGCGCCATATCTTTGTGAAATATGGCCGAGCGTTTTGTGTGTAAAGGTAATCGAAAGGGGTTCAAATCTCACTCTTATTTGTTTATTATATTTTTCTGTTTCTTTTTTAAAAATTATTTTGTTATTTTTGTTATTTGTGCATATATATTATGAAAAAATATGAAAGATAAGATGCACAGATAATAATAAAAAAAATAATAAATAATAAAAAAAAGAGTGAGATTTGAACCCGATACGTTCTATTATGTTGTCATTATTATTATTATTATTATTATTATTATTATTATTATTATTATTATTATTATTATTATTATTATTATTATTATTTAAAGTTAAATAAAGATACTGCAGCATTCAGAAAATTATTATTACTATCTCCGTGTATGTTTGTGTGTATGCGTGTGTGTGTGTTACATTATAGCGTTTTGTGCGATTTTGTTTGTGTGCGGCATATCTCCAAAAACGGCTGCACAGACATTATTCTTATAGAATCCATTTTTTAATTTCCTTATATACAGACTTTGACTTCACACTTAGAATTCCTTTTGTCAGTGACCAACTTAACACAAAGATACGGTTAGCCCTTAAACGCAATAACATCAATGCTAGAGTGGTTAACCCCCGTCCATACACCATCACTCAATTTAGTAAAGCTCGTAAGCCTGATCCTGACGTATCCTGGCTAGATGCCCTTTGAAAAACAACATCAGCTCATCTTCTAATGTTGTTTATAAGATTCAGTGCCAGATCTGTCACCACCAAGAATACGTTGGCTCCACTATTAGAGCGCTCCATACACTTCGGCACGTAAACACATCACCACCTCTGCTCTCGGCACGCACTATGAAATTGCGCCCTCTCTACTTGTCTTTTTAGAAATTTCAGTAGCGTTGTTTTCAATATGGCATTCACATACTGGACTCTAATCAACATTTGTACTTTTCTGACGAATATCAAACATCAGGAACAGGCTATGTTTGCCATGATTCATCGCTTGAATTTGTAAATATTCTGTTTATAAATGTATCTATCAATACAAATCAAGTTCATTTGTATCTAATGAATCTAATGATACAATATGGTATGTTCTAACTTCTATATAAATACACCAATATTGGATACGATACTCCTTCCTGGAAGTATTGATATAGCAAATCATTTAACGGATAGGGCCTATGCACACATACATGTCAGCGTATGCATGTCATACACATACATGTCAGAGTATACTTCCTAGAGATATTCACACAAACCCTGGATCCGATAATAACTCTAGAAACAAAACATTAACATTTAAAGAAGTAAAAATACACACTATATTGTATTGTCTTGTCTTAACACTGCCCAACAACCCTAGAAGAAGAAAAGAAGAGTTCTCCTGGGCAGGGTGTGGTGGTGGCACTGGTAGTTGAGACTACGCTTCTTCTATCATTGAAGTGATTATAAATGGTTGATTTGAACAGCTCTTTATTTTGTAAACAGTTGATTTCATGGGGTAATGAATTCCAGTCTTCGATCGTCCGGGGTAAGAATGAAAATTTGAAGCAGTTCTTGTTTTTGACAATCGGCATGTAGTTGCACATTGCAGTTGAGTTCCGTGTGTTCCACTGGACCGGTGGTAGAATCGATTGCGCTGGAACGGCAACAAGGTGATCCAGTATTACTTGCTGAAAATTAACAAGCTAATTTTGCGGCGACTTCTTCTCAAATTCCACACACATAAATGATTTATGAGATACTTTCTATTGTGTCCTTTATTGGTTTAGATTTGTTTCGTATCATTTGATCTATCAACAATAATAGGTCTACCACATTTTTATGATTTTTTTCTACTAGCTCCATCTCTTGTCCAGTGTGATTTCGAAGATCAAAGTATTTGTAGCTTTGTACAAGACTCATCGGACGATTTTGAATGGACAAGAGCATCTGGAACAACACCTTCAATTGCCACCGGCCCTTCATTTGACCACACACACGGAAATCAAACAGGTAAGGTGACAAAAAACATAAAATGAACAAAGAAAGCATAGCTTAACAAGCAGACCTTGACAGTTAACTACCTTTCCTGATATTGTATGTGAATACATTTTTGTGTCATTACTGGTTGACCAAGGGCTTTTATATTGGCTGCCATAATATATACATTATTATTTAGCTTACCTGATACGGTATCTAATTATAAATTTGCGTATCATTACAGGCTGACATAATACATTTCTCGAGAAAAACTCAAAACCTTAGGTAAACATAACTGTTTATTATTTGAATCGCTCATGCATTTAAATGTTCTTACAGGATACTACATGTACATCGAAACTTCAAGTCCGAGGATCTTAGATGAAGTCGCTCGGCTTCGGACACCGCCATATCTTGCAACACACGGCCAGTGCATCGAGTGGTTCTACCACATGTACGGATCCACAATGAACACATTGAATGTGTATGTAGTGGATAATACCGATAATGTCAGTACACTTGTTTGGACAAAAACAAACAACCAAGGAAATGAATGGATATTTGGACAGGTCTCGGTAGCAACCAGTGGCACATTTCACACAGTGTTTGAAGGAATTGCAGGGGGCAGTTACACAGGTGACATTGGTTTAGATGATGTCAGCATCACCGATGGCGTATGTTTGGCAAAACGTAGGTATACAACATTAACGAAAAATATTATCCCACAAACGAGTAATTCATTTGACATGGCCACCAACACTCTGAAACAGCATAGCAAAATATACTAATATATTTAATATTTAAAAAAATCTTTTTAAATAAAAAAAAAAACCAAGATTATTTTCACCTGTACATTACAAATCTTTATGGTTAATAGGAAATGATTCGTCAAATCTGTACATTATTATAATTCCTAATGACGCCCACTTCTGCTACTCTTCAAATGTTCAACATTAATTGACAAAGATAATGTTTATCTGTTTGAAATCATATCATTACACGTAATAGTGTCCACGTGTGTTTCGAAACAGATGTAGAATATAATATAACGTAATATTAAATAAACTCAAATACGTAAGATGTTGACTTTAGAAACACTAAAATTTATTTGGCGAATATTCCGGCTACTCCTGTAGTCTTTGTCAACGCTTGACATTTTTATGGCAAGCAAGGTTATGCCCTGGCTAAAACTAATTTTAAAAAAATACAGTAGTACAGTTTCTCCGTTTTATTTAGTATTAGTCAGAATATTCTATATAAACCTTAATTTTTCGAGTGGATTGCCACAATTCATTGGAATGGCAAAATTTTCCCATGTTTAGCCTACTTTGGTATCTAGGATAAGTCACAATCAGGCCTATCACATCGTACTCTCAGCTGCTTAGAATTTCCCCATGGCTGGTTTTCAATATCAGCCAATCACGTATTCAGTGAGTCAATGGGAGTCAGAGCATACCCTACAACGCTTAAATTTGCTATTGTGACAACCGTCGTGTGATGGCGTCAGAATAGCCAATTTAACACTGTAATGGAAATGGTGCTTCCAAGAGTAAGTGCGCATGCTCTTCTCACAAATCGGGACCTCCACTGCCGATCGCGTATTCTATCTATAGGCCTAATCTCAATGTTCAAAGTTTAAATAAATTTGCATACATATGACCAGTATAGACAAAATTTTGAATTATGATTACTTGAATTGAAATTTGTTAAAATACAGGAATAGGAATTCTTTTGAAAAGAAGATACTACAACCATGCTGGCAATTCATCTGCATGTGTATATTTAGGTTTATTACTAAAACAAATATCATTAAAGACGGTCAACGCATTCACAATTAATTTTTATATAGCTTATCAATTTCATTTTTATGCATGACATTAGTACAGCACATATCAAAACAGCTAAGATCTTCAAAGTAAAACTGTATACTGCTAAGTATACACTCACATATTTCAGTGTACAACTTAATTTCATTCTCCAAAGCTTTCCCACTTTACATAACTAGGCCTATGATTATTGTATTGAAAATAATAATTGTTTTCATTATTGCACAATATAACATAAACATTATTGTATTTCTCAAAAATTAAGATCTCAAATTATACATTTTTAAAAATCATTGATAAAAGAATCCTTCACTAAAATTTCCACCTGTACACTAGGCCTACATACTTCATGGTTAATTGGAAATTATTTGTCAATACGGTTAATTAAAATAATTGATCGTTAATAGACGTCAACTTCTTCTACTTTTTAAATGTTCAGCATTGCAGTAAGGTAATTTCTGTCTACATATCTTTAGTACGAGTTGGAAGTTCGGTTAACATCAAAGAAAACACATTCTGTGGTAATATAACGGTTGGTTCTAACAATAATGAGTACACATCGAAGACTTCGTGTGTTGGAAAGTACTTGTCTTTTCAAGTGGATTGTGCTAATTGCTCTCTTCAGTTCCATGAGCTTGTCTTACATGCATATACAGGTAAAATAACTAGAACTATACAGTAATACGTTTTCCCATTTGACACCATATTTTTCCTATTCAACGTTTTAATACAGGATGCTGCTTTAATATTTTGTTTTATTACTTAGATATCACCCATGTATTTTAATCATCAATTATCATGCATCACTTAAAACGTTTACAAAACAACGTATTATTTTCATAAAAGAAACTACATACCGGTACTGTTGTAAAGCGACTGGCATGTGTGGCCGCTACACTATCTCTATTACGTAATTTTGTTATTTTTATGAAATTTAAATACAATATTGCTATTATCAATAAGTACCGGTATTGAACCTATATGTTATCTTTAAGATACCCGGCCGATTGAATATGAGGGATACTATCGTAACGGGAACTGTCACATGATATTCAATGAAACAGTTGATTGGCTGTCAGCGCGTACAAAATGTGAAGCAGAGGGAGAATCTGGTCATCTCGTTACCATCGACTCAGAAGAGGAGAACAGCTTCGTTTTCGAGATTATCCGTCATGAGGGTGTTTTGTCAACATGGATTGGTCTGAAAAAGGAGAATTCTTCAATTCAGTGGGTAGATGGAGAGGGCAGTACATTTAGTAATCTCAACGAAGAAAACAGCGAAGATGCAGAGGATTGTGTATCCATGGGTAATGACGAATCACCAAAGTGGAATTGGAAAAACTGTGCAAACTTTAAAACCGCGTACATTTGTCAGAAACCAGGTAAGTGCACATGCATTAAGTACCACGATAGAGCTTACTGTATGTAAACACATACTTCTAAAATAAATGATGTACTGTACTGCAATTTATACAATCAGATTATGTATTATGGTGGTGGCGGCTGCTGCTGTTGTGTAAGTCATTACGTTTATTAGTGAAATACATTGTTCTTCAGAACACTGCCGCTGGAAATGTTATTGTTTTGCAATATAATAAATTTAAGGAAAACATTTTTTTCCTCAGCATCGAACCGAGGGATCGACTACAAGAAATATAATTCTCAAAAGCGTATCACAGCGGACAGAACGGCCAAGAAGTACGATGGCGTCACATCGTCTGGATCGTGCTCGCTGTATTGTATGAGTTACACCGGGTGCATCTCATTCTCATTTAGTCTGTTAACCAATGAATGTAGGCTAAGCGACACTATAGAAATTAACTTAGCGGATGACCTTTATGCTAATTATTTTGTACAGAATCATTTGTTTGAAAAGTGCAACTTCTAAAACAAATATGAAATACTTTATTAGTAAAGTTTTGTTGTATAGGCTATATTTAGCCAAATTTAGTAGAAATTACTTTTTGTCATTGTGGTGGTAGTTATAATAATACTGTTCTGTCTGTTTTTAAAATTCTATTGAAAGAGGGTATAATACGAAGAGTATAGAAATGTTCCGGCAATTCGTATTTTACTTGTACACAATGAAACGAAAAGCGAAATTCTACCACAGGTCGGGCGCCCTATTAGAATTAGAAAAGAGTTCGATACAACATGGACGTTCGATATTAACGACTTAAGCCGGCCACTCACTGAGCACGATGAATCCAACTCCACTCCCTGTGAGCGCTAGACAACGCGATGTCGTCTGCTGATTGGCGGTGGCAGTACAAACGGATCATCATTAAAAACGATCTATTGAGCGCGCGTCGTGGCGTCGCGTTTTATAGAATCGCGTCAGCCGATGACCGTCGGGTGCAGTGTGAGTGCCCGGCTTTATACGTGTATATCGTCTTTATTGAAGGACGCCCTCTAGCTCGTGGTATTAATTTTCAAAGATAGGATTCCGTTTCAAAGAAAAAACCGAGACTCCAATAATGCATATATAGAAACACACCTCATATTGTACCATCTATCTAGCGTACTATTCCGAAGCACAGTGACTCTTGACGAAAAGAAAAATTTAATATATTGATTTTTGTTGGAAAAGAAAAATAATGAGGCTAAATTTTACAAAAGTATTACTTAATTATGTATAATTGCAATTATAAATTTACTAACAAAATCTGTAATTTTCATTTTCTATAATTATATAATTCTTACCTTTTCCCCTTTTCTTTATTCCATCTATTCTTTACATGTGTCTTTCTATTCATTTCTATACCTTGTCCTTTCTTCCTTTTTGTTCTATTCCTTTTTAGCCTTTCGTTTCCTTTATAATGTAGTTTTTCTCTAATCTTTTCTTTTTTTTTCTTCAGTTATTTTTCTTTCTTATTACATTTCAATCTTTCGTTAGTTGTAGTATTTTCATTTCAATCCTTTTCTTTTATTTTTAAATCTTTTCCTTTATTCCTTTTTGTTTTATTACTTTACAGCCGTTCGTTTTATTTTTACGTAGCTACTTTCTATCATTTTCATTTCCGTTATCCTTTCTTTTCTTCATTTGTTTACTTTCTTATTTCTTTTCAATCTTTCGTTTTCTTTTTTTTTATAATTTCATTACAATCCTTTTATTTTCCTTCCTTCTTTTTCTTTTCTATTACTTTTATTCCTTTGCCTTTATATTTTTCTTGCTTTCTTTTCTTTCTTTCCATTTTCCTTTCCTTATTTACATTTTTTCCTTTCCTTCTCTTTTCTTCATAGTTTTTTATTATTTCTTTTCGATTGTTTCTCCTTTTTAATTCTTACTTTCCTTTATTCTTTTCCTTTTTCCTTTCCATTATTTTTTCCTTTCTATTTCCTTTCGTATCCTTTTCTCTTCCTTCCTCTTTTCCTTTAATTTTAATCTGGTTTTTTTCTAACCACCTTTTCTGTCCTTTCATTCCTTACCCTTCATTACTTTACCTTTCTTTTCATTTCTTACAGGTTACCATTGTTTTTCCTTTTATTCCCAATCATTTGTTTTTTCATTTTACATTAAAAAAACCCCCAATTTTTCAATACCTAATAATGGCTAGCTAATACAAGAGCAAATCATTAAGTAAAGTTCTACGCTAATCAGCTTATTCAACGAGATACGTTTTGAGGAGTGTTTTGAATATGGAAAGAGCTGCAACATTTGATTTGATATTAGGGAGAGCAATCCAAAGTTTTAGCGCAACTGACGCAAAAGCTCTGTCAACATGATGTCCGTGTTCTTGGAATGGTGAGTAGCGTTTTGTTAGTTGACAGGAGACTACGTACAATAGCATATGTGGGTAAGAAGATTTGAAATCATTGGGATATTCTATACTCTTGTTTATATAAGGTATATAATAGACTACTCTACACGTTCCAAACGGTTAAATCTAGAAAATGCAATCATTCTCGTGACCGAAAAATGCAAATCCACTCTCCATGTCTTAAAGTAGACTTGGCTAGAATGCGCCGCTGCAAGTAACCCCGGCCGATTGATAAGCTTGATAGTTTGATCAATTTACTTAAATTGATGTAAAATAAATTCAGAAATTCGAAATACAGCCTTCTTTATTATTTTATAAGACATTGTACATTAAGCCCCTTACTGTAGGCTAGTGAGTGTGCACAGAAACCTTAACCTAGAATGCAAATTATTATTGAGTAAGCCTACAGCATGTAAAATATACGATTACAGATTAGATGTTTGATTTATTAATATGTACAGTAAGTTAAACTATTCAAAGAAACGGTTTATAAATAATACCAGGGGTGGCGCCAGTGGTAGGGGCGGGGAAGTAGTCTCCGACGGTGGGGACGCTGTCCACGAAGAAAGCAAAGTGGGCGTGGCCTGGCGTCGCTCAAAATCTTTCGAAAGTGGTCCAGGAAGCAAAGACTCAAAACAGCTGAAAAACATCTCGCGTCGGGTTGCGTCGCACAACGCTGAATGTCATATTTTGGATCAGTAAAGGTAAATGATAATAATAATGTTGTCATCTTAGTTTAGAAAGTTGACAATATGCTCCAAAGAGGATGAGCTTTAGTTTAGTGGTTAAAGTGCTTTCCTTCAAATGCAATTTCGTTGGTTCAAACCTCGTATAATCTGAAATTTGCTCACATCGAAACAGCTCTACTCCAGAAATCTGATAAAGGTAATCGATTATATAATATGCAGCGAAAGTTAAGGTGCATTCACATCGGACCGACCGAAATTTGGATGCGCTAAACGCAAGCGTCCCTCCTTACACATTGATTCGATTTTCTGATTGTTTCGGTAGGCCTTCCGTTCCGAAAATTCGGATTCGGTGTAAATGCGGCTTTGAATCTACATTACCGAAATGCATGGTGGGTAAATGGGGCCCGGAGCCATGTAGCTTTCTGAGACTGGGGTCCTTTTTGATCCCGGTCTCCAATTCCATTGTGTACGGCTGCCCTGTGGATAAAATTGCGGTAAATTATCATCTGATAAGCCCATTCGTAGTTTGAATTTCACATGCTCGTTCAAGGTCAATAGACAAAAAAAAAAAAAAAAAAAAAACACAACCTCACACAACATAGGTTTATGTCGATTGACCTTTGTCGAATACTACGAGTACGCGCATGCACAGTTCAAACCACGAATCGGAAAAGAGAAGGGCACCGCGTACTTCTGGGGATGTGCACAAGCTACGCATTTCTCATTCACTTTTGCTATGCGAGAGTTCTATCAAAGATACTAGAAACATAAGATAGAGTTCTCCACAGAAAAAAAACTGTTCCACCGAAATGGTGGGAATACAAACAATGGGGTGCCGCGTACGGCTGGATCTAAATACTCTGCCACCGTTACATAACTGTGAATACATGGCCTCCTTTTGCGGGGGTTAAAATCATTGCCATTATCAATAAGATACACACAAGTAGGCATAAATAAATTAAAACAATAAAATGACAGACAAAAAAGCGCAGAGTCGTATGACCGGACTCCGATTAATGATAAAGTTTTCCTCCATTAGTGGAAAAAGAAGGGCGCCGTGTGCGTCTGGATATACCTAGCAACGGAAGAGCGCCCTATACGTCTGGACCAAGTACAGAAAACTTGCATTATAAAAAGAGAAGGGCGCCGCGTACGCCTGGACCAATTTTTACTATGCGAGTGTTTTTATCTTGTATTTCTAGTATCTTTGGTTCTATCTTGCGTCTCAAGTATCTTTGGCATTGCTAAGTATTATGTCATCTTATAGCCTATCCAGGTGTTTAAAATATATAAAGACACGATTATGTCTAATCTGCCATTGGGCTTTCTATCTAAGCTATCAACCCAAATAGGGCTTTAGAAAAGAATCATATTTTAATAGAAATTAATTTTTAAATCTGAATTATAAATTTTTCATTATATTTATGTCAATACTAGCAACGAAAAATATCATGTCGGCCGTTTTTATGTGTGATAACAGAACCTAAATCGAGGTAAGGCTAGTCTAGCAGTGTTAGATAGAGGCTGTTTTCGGCACCTACTATGTTTCTTCGCAGACCTATCACAAAGTTAAACATGAACAATCCATCCGCATTTTTTTTTTGTGTGGAACACAGAAAATCAAATTTCAGTCTTTTTTTTACATTTTTTTCATGTTCAGGAATGTCTAAATTCAGTTAAATTAGCAATTTCGTATTACATTTATAAATCTTTATAACATTATATAAAAATCAGATTTTTCTTAACAACTGAAATCTTGCCGGGAATGGGGCTTTAAATACTTCTTGGAAAATTTTAAATCGAGTTAAGTAATAAAGTATTTGTGAAGCATGTATGATTATGATTTGTCAATGAGATTGACCCTTTTAGAGAGCTTTTTGCAACAGTTGTCAAGTAGGCATTTAATCTCTCAAGTAAAAGGATAATAATGTGCTGTCAATTATGCAAACAATAATTTGTAACTTGTGAAAGACTCGCCTCTTTGCCAAAGACGCCCCTACAAAGTCTCCCCTAACAAACTCGCCCCTAGCAACCTCGCTCCTTGACTATACACAGTTGCCCCCTACACACTCGCCTCTTTCAAAATCTCCCCTAACTGACGAACTCGCCTACTAACAAACTCGCCACTGGCTATGCACAGTGACTCCCCTACACACGCGCCCCTATCAAACTCGCCACCTAACAAACTCGCCCCTAGCATGCATTTGTACATTAGTCCTGTAGAGCTAGGTCAGCGCCATGTGAAAGAAGAAGAAGAAGAAGAATAAGAATAATAATAATAATAATAATAATAATACAAATAATACAAATAATACAAATAATACAAATAATACAAATAATAAAAATAATAATCTCTGATCAGGAATTATTTAAATCCAGTCTTAAATCCTTCCACTTCAAATAGTTCAACTTCTTTCTGACATCTTCCAGCAAACCAGTTCTTGTTTGTTTTAATAGGCGCTTTTAAAAATGTGTATTATTTATTATTATTTTTTTTATTATTATTTTTTTTATTATTATTATTTTTATTATTATTATTTTTATTATTATTATTTTTATTATTATTATTTTTATTATTAATAATAATAAAAATAATAATAATAAAAAAAATAATAATAATAAAAATAATAATAAATAATACACATTTTTAAAAGCGCCTATTAAAACAAACAAGAACTGGTTTGCTGGAAGATGTCAGAAAGAAGTTGAACTATTTGAAGTGGAAGGATTTAAGACTGGATTTAAATAATTCCTGATCAGAGATGATACGTAATTGTGTTAGAAGAGTTGCAGAGTTTAGGAGCAGAAAAGTAAAAAGATTAATAATTATAAATGGGTTTTTAATATTGCTTCTGTCGGTAAATTATAATGAATATACATTTATAAGTATTTATAGTAATTAGGCCCCATGTTCAATGGTTACTTAAACTGTTTTTTTTCAAAATTTGCATTTGATATGATTAATGCACGTGTGTCTACTTACGTATAATATTGTATTAAGTATTGATAAGTACGACTATTGCATATATTTTAAAGTTTACGATGACGCTTTATTATATAAACTCATAAAAGCACGTATTATCGTATATAAATACACAATACTTCAATATCTATTTAATTCAATTCAAATTAATTTATTCATTATCAAAATTACATATAAATGCAAATAAAATAAATATACTGTACGTAAAATTAAGTTATTGCTTTAATTATTATACCGTGTTAAATGTTTATTATCAAACAAAAAAATATTATTGATTAGCAAAACACTTTTGCTGAAGGATAACAATAATTTGAAGATTGGATATTACTAGACACGATTAAAGTTCCAGATCACGTTTACCAAGACTCAACCAGAATAAAAGAAATAACTTATTCAAAATTATGACAATGAGCTAAGATCAAAATCGGTCCAAGTCCAACGTATTTCTAAATTCAACAAAGACGCTTTGGGGATTTTCTGGCGATCTGCTGCGTATGTAAATAAAGATATAAAGGCCTAAATCGCGTTACATTATTAGCAATTCTGCCAGCTTTTTTGGCCAATCAAATGTTTTAATCATCAGGCGCTATTTACATCACCATGGTCCGGATCACTATTTTTGTTGTTCTTCTTTTAGAAGTTTTTCTTCTGAGTACTACAAGTAAGTAAGTATGTCATGTCCGCGATGTACACGTTTTGACTAGTATACTCTAAACTTTATTAACATCTACAGCTAGAGGGCATTCGTAGGTAAGCTTATAATAAGAATTAAAAGTGTTCTAATAATAATTTTACTACTCGTAGTACTAGTAACTCGTTGAAAGTTAATAGTTTAGTTTATCTTTAGAAATAAGCTATTGAAAATTTTACTTGAATTTTTGAGGTATTTTATTGTTTTTAACAGATAGTACATATTTATTGAAACCTAAACGACTAGTTTAACCTCTATCAAAGGAAACTATTTTTATTTTAAATGTTTTATTTCAACTGTTTACATTTTCTCTTTTTCCGTGTTTCTGATGTATAAACTGTGTTGTTATTGTAAAGTGTGTATTAACTTACTTTTTTGCTCTGGGGGTTTTTTGAATAAATGAAATAAAAAATAAAATAACAAATTAAACACACAAAATGACACTATATATTTTTTTTAACTTATTAAAATTATTAGTTGATATAATGTAATAGGTATGACGTAAGAAAAATAACAGGTTTTCTTAATCCATATTGTAATTACTCTTATTCAAAGCCTAAAATCAAAATATAAATAATAGACTCCCAATCATAATATAAATAATAGGCTCCCAGCGGGAGTTTTTGTTTTTGAGTTTAATCTTACGTTCTTCAATATGCAGATTGTGTATTTATTGTAGTGTATCAGGATTTGTCATGAAAATTTTCTTTCATAACAACATTCAGTATACATTATATTACACTAAAAACACTTTATTATTCAATAATAGGCCTATCTACCTTTATTCAGACTCGGAGTACATCATCCGAGTTTGTTAGAAGTGTGTCATGTCATCACTGCAAAGAAAGAGACAGGTCAATTAATGATGTTTAATATCGAAAGGCTGAAAATGAACATACATAAGAATTAAATATGAATGTAAAGCAATAAAATGGCGTACATGTTAACTTCGAACATGTAGCCTATGTGGATTTACCCTAGGGGAAATGTTTTGATAATGGGATATGACATGCAATGTAATTTCTGAAGGAGTGTCTATTTAATGGATACTTTTACCCTGGGACAAAATAGCATGCCTTGGTTTAATATTTTTGAAAATAAAACTGGCCTTAGCAAGTCATGGTTAGCAGGCCATGACACACATGTATTTAGCACTGCGTAGGTCGCCTAGCTAGCTATATGCCAAGGCCTAATAATGTAAATTAGTAAAGTAAATTTGAAATTTTACTAACCTCTAGGCATAGGCATAGATACGGCCTTTTGTAATAGTTTAGCCTAGTCTAGTACTAGGCCCTAGTGTAGAAGAAATTCGTAAGCTAAAGGCCTAGGCCTATATTGGTTTTCAGATGTTTCAAGTTAGCAGCATTATTAGCATGGCCACAGGTGTTAGCACGGTAGGTAAAGGTCTAGGCCTGCCCATATACGAATAGGCCTATTAATTATATACAATACACTAAAAAGTAAATAGTAAAGTAAATTTGCAAGTTTACTAACCTCTCTAAGCACCCTAGGCACGGCCTTGATTAAAATTCGTGTTAGTGCATTTGGTGTGAAGTTTAAACACATTAAACAAAGCTTAAAAATGCATTGTATATTATGTTTTCACGCCTTCTCTCATCTCAAGTTATCGACGATTAGAATGTGTCCACACATCGTTTTTCACCTCAATTAACAGGGGTCTTGACAAAACAGGATGGCGTAATTATAACATGTAATATGCAACCTATCTTCTTTTAGTAGTCATTAGTCTCTTAACAAAAACAAATCGCGACATTTAACATAGGGTCTACTAAATGGTGCGGTAAGTGATCGGAGCGGTAAGTGATCGGAGCGAATAATTAATAATAATACTTGAAGATCGATTATCATACTAGTTAAGGAAATTATTCTTAATGGATACCAATGTATGACTCAGTAATCAGCTTGTCATATTTACCACTTGTTGTCAACTATAAACTGGACGAGTATTGTTTTCAATTGATATGACCAATAATAATAATAATAATAATAATAATTTGTATGAAATTTTTCATTAGTGTTGATCCAGCAAAATAAAAACCAATAGTACTCACACTACGTTTCGCGAACGATCCGTTCGCTTTTTCAAGTAGACTGGTGATGTTATTTCCAGTCTGGTCTGACGTCACCTCGGTGTTGTTGAGGTCGAGGTGCATCGCTGCGTCGTCGACAAGCACCCCCTCCCCTCTTATGTTGTGGTTCAATATGATATCATCATAGATATGTGATAGAATGTGTCCTCCTTCATCTCTGTTCATAGTATCTGTTGTTTTTCTAATCCATAAAGATTCTCTGACTTTTCGTTCAAACCATGAGCTTTCTTTCTGTAATATTTTTATGTCCCAATTTGGAA